CACTCTAATGGCGATCTCTCCGACAAAGAAGTCCGGCTAATCCGACATAGACAGCTTCTGGAGTTCGGAGACCGAGTCGAGAATGTCGTCGTCGACCCATCTCTTGTCTTCGAGAATCCTCGACTTCGAAATGCTTACATAGCTCTTCAAGCTTGGAAACAAGCCATTCTCTCTGATCCAAACAATTTCACTACGAACTGGATCGGTTCCAATGTGTGCAGCTACACCGGAGTTTACTGTTCTTCGGCGCCGGATAATCGTCGGATCCGTACCGTCGCCGGTATAGATCTCAATCACGCAGACATTGCTGGTTATTTACCTCAAGAGCTTGGTTTATTAACAGATCTCGCTCTGTTTCATGTTAATTCGAACCGGTTTTGTGGAACCGTACCACATCGGTTTAATCGGCTCAAGCTTTTATTCGAGCTTGATCTTAGTAATAACCGGTTCGCCGGAATATTCCCTACCGTGATTCTTCAGTTACCGTCGTTGAAGTTTCTCGATCTGAGGTTTAACGAGTTTGAAGGATCTGTACCGAGAGAGCTTTTTAGTAAAGATCTTGATGCGATTTTTATTAACCATAACCGGTTTCGGTTTGAGTTACCGGATAATTTGGGAGATTCGCCGGTTTCTGTGATCGTTGTGGCGAATAATCATTTTCACGGTTGTGTTCCGGCGAGTTTGGGAGATATGAAGAATCTTGAAGAGATTATTTTCATGGAGAATGGGTTTAATTCTTGTTTACCGTCGGAGATCGGGAAATTGAAAAACGTAACCGTGTTTGATTTTAGTTTTAACGATTTGGTTGGGTCTTTACCGGTTAGTATTGGTGGGATGGTTTCGTTGGAGCAGTTAAATGTGGCGCATAATAGATTTTCCGGTAAGGTTCCGGCGAGTATTTGTACGTTGCCGAGGTTGGAGAATTTTACTTACAGCTATAATTTCTTTACCGGAGAGTCGCCGGTGTGTTTGTCATTGCCTGGTTTTGATGATCAGCGTAATTGTTTGCCGGCGAGACCTTTGCAGAGATCTCCAGGGCAATGTGCAGCTTTCTTGTCTTTGCCTCCGGTGAATTGTGCTTCGTTTGGTTGTGGTCGTTCTGTTTCTCCTCGGTCTCCTCCGGTGGTGGTTCCTTCACCGCCGAGAACACCATCTCCTGGTTCTCCTCCGGTGGTGGTTCCTTCGCCTCCGACAACACCAACTCCTGGTTCTCCTCTTTCACCGTCTAGTCCACCGATTGTGGTGCCTCCAGCTCCGATCTCTCCAATTCCTAGTCCTATTTCGCCTTCTAGTCCTCCGATTATAGCCCCGTCAACTCCGCCTTCAACACCATCAACTCCGCCGCCAACTTCGCCTTCAACCCCTTCCACTCCGCCTTCAACACCGTCAACTCCGCCTACAGCACCATCCACTCCGCCTTCAACGCCGTCCACTCCGCCGTTAACTCCACCATCACCATATCCTCCGACTCCGATTTACTCTCCTCCATCACCTCCACCTTCTCCGCCGCCCACTGGTTACTCTCCGCCGTCACCACCACCACCACCAACATACTCTTCGCCATCCCCACCACCGCCTACGTACTCTCCTTCGCCACCTCCACCGCCGACATACACTCTGCCATCACCGCCACGTCCTCCACCGCAACACTCGCCGTCACCGTCTAGATATTCACCTCCACCACCAGTCCCCTACTACTACAACTCTCCACCTCCACCACCACCGCATTACTCTTTACCTCCACCACCACCGATTTATCACTATCTATCTCCACCACCTCCACCAACGCCTATATATTCACCACCATCACCTCCACCGTGCATAGAATACTCTCCATCACCGCCTCCTCCTCCGACCGTCCATTACATTCCTCCTCCACCACCACCACCGCCTGTCCACCACAGTCCACCACCTCCTCCGATAATTCACCATAGTCCACCACCGCCATCTCCGATCTACGAGGGACCATTACCGCCGATTCCGGGAATATCATACCCTTCTCCTCCACCACCTCCGTTCTATTGATTCTTTTTTCATAAATTTTCCCGCGCGGGGCCCACCAATTATGCTAAAACCCGAAGCCGAAAACGATGTCGTATCAGGTTGTGATGGATCTGTCTGTACACGGCGTCGTTTTCAAACTCAAACTATTTCTTGCACAGAGTTACGTGTGGGATTTATATATATTCTCTGAGAGATTTATTCGGTGAACAACAAATGTTTTCAAAAATGAGGAAGATTAGAGTTTTCAGGGAAATGTTAATGTATAGAGGAAATTATTAAAAAAAAAAATGGAGCAACCCATCTTTATGTTCTTTTAACTAATTTAGTAATTATCATTGTTGCTTGAATTTTTGTTTCGTTTTCTCTTATATATTAAAGTACTATCTTTTTGGATTTCCTTATTTCATTACTGCAACTATTCACATTTTTGTTTTTGATGTCTTCGGGGTTTATGTATTCTGAATCCGAACCATAACCATAACATTAACTACTAACAAGCGAATCATACATGAAAGTACTTGTGGGTGGGAGTTAATGAATCCGGTTTAAAGCATAGCAAAATTAAATCCGGTTCAGCTTAAAACGCAACGTTTTGATGAATCATGTAGGGACAATCGTCACATGTGCCTAGCAGTTGCACTACCTGACTTAGTTGCAGTTCGAATTTATTACCATACTGTCTAATATCGGAGTCATTGATTAATGTTGAAGATTCTATCTTTTTAATATGTTTTTTTTTTTTGTTATAAACTGTTCAATTTGGGGTTTGTACTTTGTACTTTGTACTTCCTGAAATCTGGATAATTTATTAAATTTGTAGTAGTAGTTTTGTACTCCTCTTTGTACTATTTTTTTTTTTTTTTTAAACTTTCCTCTTCGTACTATTGATTTAAGATTTACTGTCAAATCAGCCGTAGCACAGAAACTTAGGTGAAATTTTTTTTACTTCACCGATTCAGTTTTTGGAAATTGAGACCTGCAGAATTTGCCTGCCGACAAAGTCAAAACAGAGAAACATTTCAATTCTTCGTCTATGCACAATATCAATATTCCAAAAATAATAATTTTATTTTTACCGATGTCATGGGTATAGTACAAAAGATAATAATTTATCTTTTCCAGTAAATATGTGATTGAAAAGCTATATTTAGGTTCAAATGGTTGTATATTTGGTGAAATCAACACTTTTTAAAAAATCGCTATTCAAGTTAAAAACAAAACTGAAAAAAAAAGAACTAATTGAAAATTGAAACTTTTTTTTTTTGAAACTTAAAATTGAATTGATTGGCTCAATTTTAAAAACTCAATGTTTTAATTGAACTCAATCATATTTATTTACATTTAATCCACGAACTCCATGAAGACAACAAAGTTCTATTAGTTTATATGTAATCTTATTGGTTGTTATTGGTTGTAGGAGTCTAAATCAACTCCATTGGATTTAAACCATATCAGATTTTTAAAGATTTAATTTATTTAAAATGATTAATTATAGATTTTACAATCTAAAGTTGAAGATTTACAAATCCACGGTAGTGTATTTGCAAAGTATACTCATTTGGTTTTTATGATAGATTTGAATCCAAATAATACTGAAAAATATTTTTTTTTATATTTAGAATCTGTTTTTTAATATTTTAATTTTAAACATAATTTTTCGTTTAAAAAAATATTTGGACTAGAGACACAAAAAACCAATTTATTTGTGTTATCACTTGACTACCACACATAAATATATATAATGTTGTTTATATATCATTATGTGTTAAATTCATATAATACAGGTTGGTTAATTTTTATAATCTATAATGAAATGTATTCAATCCAGATTTTTGTTCGGTTCTGAATTAGTTTTATGATTTTTTGGTTTGTAAATTTTTAGGTTTGTAAATGATAGTGCTCAAGATAAAACCATTTTAAAAGTTTTGTTGAATTCAACATATAGTCATATATCATCAATCTAAACATCATTTTCTAATCTA